AATTCGGACATTCTATGACTAAATCACTTAATCATAGCACAGAATAACAGCTCCATCTTCAGCAAATATTTCTAAGGTCAATAGCATTAGAGAATACAGTAAAAAAAAATAAAAAAAATAAATAAATAAATAAATAAAGAAAGGAGCAATAACTCACCGTGTGAAGCTGAATAAGGGATCCAATACTTCATTTTTTCTATCTGGCCCAATTCATTATCAAGCTTCCACACTGTGACATTACCAGCACGATCTCCTATAAATCTGCCATTGCAAAGAAATATATTTTACCAATGTTCTCTTAGTTCAGCAATTTTGAACTAGGAGTTTGGTTACATCTTGTTCCAAGATAAGGGAATTCTTATAATTTCCATACAAATACAATAATGAGGTACTTACAAGAAGGAACTCAGCTGCATTACTGACATAGATGTGATCTCTTCTTCGAAATTATGAACATGAGACAAAATCTTCTTATCTATGTCCCAAACCTAGTTATGAGTCATGCCAAACAGTAAAATATAAGTGTAAAGATAATTAGGGAAAGAAAAAAAAAAAAAAAAAAGTTAAGTAAAAAAAGGATACAATTCAGCTACCTCGATTTGATCATTGGATGTTACATTCAAAAGAAAACCTTGGTTGTGAATGAACTACAAATTTAAACACCTTAAGTTAGCTACTTAGCTACAGTTCAGTGCCAAGATTAGTAAATGATATCACAGCAAAGTGGTGCAAAAATGAGCACCAAGATAAAGTGAGGGGTTTTGGTAGCAGAGTTAAAAGAACCTGCAAAAATTTGCTGGGCTGCACGTCATTGAACTCCAACAGGGTTTGAGTGTTATCTTTTCCTAACAATTTAATCTGCCCATTCCTATAGGAAAGAAACAAGACCGTTAAAATCATAGGAGTAAACCAAGTCTATATTATAATTGAAGTAATCTTTACATGAATTATTGATCTACAGTGACAGAACATCTTGTAAATTAGTAATAAGTTAGGCTCAAGATTTCATTTGGTGATTGATAACCAAGAGAGATTCATCACAGCATCTTGTAGCACAGGTATACTGATTCGTAATGATGCAAAGCAGTCTTCTTACAGTATTAAAAACTGGGCTTATTAACTCTAGAAAAGTCCATGTATATGAATCAGACTACTGTTGATTTCAGTACTACAGATACGATTATGCAAAACCACATAGAAACACTTGCATTTAGGAAAATAAAGGGAGCAGCTACAAGGGACAAACTTTGTTGATACTGCAAGTATCTTTTGTATTGGATCATATGCAAACATAGCAGCTGAAGGTGGTAATCCATAATGGAAAGCTAGACGAGGATCAACATCTTCTGGTTTCAGACCATCTGAGTTCTCCCCAGGCTGCATCAGAATTCAAGCATTGTCAGTGTTGAAGTACCCAAAATTTGCAAATGCTTTCAAATCAAACATACAACGACATATTCACAGAAATAACCTTTGATGCCCGGAATTGTAATGAAAGTCATGTTTCCGATTTTCAAAACATGGAAATAATAATAAATCAGAGCTTAAAATGCCTCTTTGTTAACAATTTTTAATGAAAATAAACAGGACAATGTTAGACTCTTAAGCAACATCATTGGTTTATTGCTTTAGTGAATTTACGCGTTTCTAAAAACCCATCATTCACATTATCAGGTTACAGCAACAATTATCTGCAACATTACTAAACCAATTGTGGAGTAAGGCTTGTGACATTGTCACTACTACCTAAGCAACTCTTACCTTAAAATCTTCTGAAAATAAAAATATCAAATATGCTAATCGTAAACTAAAAAAAATATCTGAATCACCAAATTATCAACAACTTAAACAGTTGAACAATAATCAAAACCACAAGATATTTTCCTCAATCCAAATATCAAAAAGTAATCGTTACTTGTAAAAATTAATCAACACCATCACAATTTTACAAACGATTGGATTTCATTTTTAAACCCCAGGAAAAGCTTGTCCTCACTATCAACTACGGAGTACTCCACAGTACAGTCCGTAATTTATAACGTAATTTAAACTAGTAACACGACAACTAAATGTCTAAATCTGATGGAAAAACAATGCAACTGACGATCATCGTCCAACTTATTTAAAAAGCAACGATTCAAGTTGATGCAAAAAGCAAAAAATCACGAACTGATTAACTGAGTTTAAATTTGAATGTAAATGAAACCAAATCAAATCATATCAACTAATTACTTTGGATGATCAAATAAATTGCGAAGTACAGTAACATATAACCAATATAACATATAAATAGTTCAATCAACTTTTCTTTTCAAAAAATAAAAAATTACAGTAAATGGCTGTACAAACCTTCTTGGTTGCCTTTTCTACAAGCTTTTTAACAAACATTTTGATTTTGAGAATTAATTCAACCCCAAAAAAAAACCAGGAAATTAGATAGAAAGAAACAATTTTTTTCAGAGAGAGAAATAGTTTTTCTAGAGAGAGAAACAATTGATTGATTCACGTCAGTTACATGTTTAAACTATAACAACGAGAAACTTGACTGTTCAGGGGAAAAACTGACATTCAATGGACCATTATTTTTTATTTATTTATTTCTTCTTTAGTATTGGGATATGGTCGGTGGTTTTTTAAATATTTGTATTTTTTTTAATTGTTTTGGATCAAGTAATAATGTAGTATTTCGTTAAAAAAGATTTGGTTGATTGACCCTTAATGATGATAAACGTAAGTAAAGTGGGTGTGATTGATTTGATTTAGTCGACGTCATTAGGGCAAGGATTTGGAAGACTTTGAGCATATCATGCCATGTGTTGTGGTTTAGGAGTGTGACCACCTTAAACTTATGGAGGATGGTCGTGTTTGGCAAAATATAATAGTGGAGGTAGCTATTAGTTGTGGTAGTAATTGAGTAGTTATCTAATAGCTACTTAAAAATTAGTGTTGAACGCGTTTTATATCTCTTCTGTAGTTCTCTATAATACACTAATACTAGTCATTAGTGTTTGTTTGGTTGATACTACGTACAATACATGCGATATGAAATTTTGTGGAAGTGAAATTGTGGAAAAATGACATTTTTTTTTTGTTTAGGAAAAATGACAAGTTCATTACGAAGTATTTCACAATTGACAAAATTATATGGAATACTTCCTATGAAGTATTTTATTTAATAAGCTAACATATTTTTTTCTGTTTTACAATGCACTATTTCAATGATTGATATTTTTTTTTTTTGGTTTATTTTTTACCATTATATAATAAAAGATAATTAGGTATAAATTCTGTTTTGAGAAGCGTAATCATCCCCCATATTGTCACATTAGAGAAACGAGGGTAAATTTTGGAACCAAAACAGAAATAACAAATCACAAAAGTATAAAAATTCAAGGTTCCATAATGAAAAAAAGCAAAGAAGATATTAAGGCCCTGTTCACTTCACCTTAAAAAAATAATATTTAGTAAAAATAATTTCAGTTCAATGAATATAATTCAGTTCAGCAATAAATTATTTCAGTTCAGTAAAAATAATTTAAGTTCATCATAAATAATTTAAGTTCAGTAAAAATAATTTAATTTCAGCAAAAAAATAAAGTTAACTAAACCGGGCCTAAATCTCTTTTATATAAAAGATGGGTAGATTATATATATTAATATATATAGTGTCAACTTAATTTTAAAACACAATAACTACTCATGTCATGTCACAATGTTAACATTATTAATAATACCAACCATTTATAGAAAGTCTATTAATTTATTGATTTGGTAATTAATAGACACAATTAAATGTAAAAATCATGGTTATATATGGAAGCAAAAATAATTGACAACCTACGTTTTGATCTGATACAAATTCTTTGCAAATAAGTTTAAAAAACATTGGTCAAAATTAAGTCAAGTGAATAATGCGCACTAAAAAACGGAGGAGTACCAAAGTAGTGAATCGTTATACGTCACCCACATTTTACCAGGTAACGCTCGCATTTTGATATGAATGGACAAAGTTACCCTCACGTGCCTTTCACTCCCGTAACTCACTCTTACATTCTCTCCTTCCAACAAACCACCATCGACCACCACCAGCCAAGGGCAAGGTCATTGCCGATGAAGAAGTTAATTTTTTTTTAAAAAAAAAAAGAAAATTATATCACTAGGAAACGTCTAGAATTTTCATAAAATTTCTAGTAAAAACGCTGGGATTTTAAGATGGTTATATATAAAATAGATTAGATTTCAGTCCAAATTATATTTTTTTCTTAGTATTGCTTAATAAATCACAATAAGTGAACTTAAGCATATCTTGTGAATAGTTTAATAAAAGACTATTTTAATTAGCATTTCGTATTAGGTTAATATGTCACTAACACTTTATTTGGATTGAAGGAATCGGAGGGAAAGGAAAAAAAAGAGAAATGAAAGGATGAACTATCTTTCATTTGAATAACACATTAGGGAATAAGAGAATTGGAAGGGGAGAGAAATGGAGGGATTAAATTGAAAAAATTGATGTCTCCAACAATGGAGAGATTTTAAAGGAAAACTCACATTCTTCCCTTCACTTCCCACACCTTCCCTGGCCTCACTCCTCTTATTTTCCTTCCCCCTTCTCTATCCAAACACGCCGTAAAGGTTGTGTATATATAAACTACGGAGTACCAACATAATAAAGTTTTGAGTAACAATGAAAACACTACTCATAAACCTATGTTCATAAAAAAGGAACGAATATGTTCATAAGCCTCCTGCTTGTGAGCAAGGAAACAAGATAGTCTTTGTTAAGATTGGCATCCTGGAAAATACTTTCCTTCCAACCTAACACAACCACTTGAGGGAATAACAGAATGACCAAATGAACTAGAATAACATAAAATTCGTTTTCCCTAAAAGCGAATACTCGAAATAACCTATTAAAACAACATTATGCAACATAAAACTCCCTTCAAGAAAGAGTATAATTGCATTATGGTAACGACACAACCTTAAACAAAAGAAAATGTGCAACATTGATAAGATTTAATAAACTTTCAGCAACTAAGTATCACCAAGTTCGGCACCTTTCATAATTTAAGCATTATGGTGTACGACATCCCACAATTGATTAGCTTACAGCAAGCTAACAAATTGCAATGGGCGTACGCCATACAACAGCAAACTATACAAATCAAAGCAGCTCTTAACATAATTGAAGCAGCAACATCTAGTCAAGAAAAGTAAACGACTTCCCATCAAAGAATAAGGGCAGTGAATCTTTTGATACGCACAAGGATTTTCAAGACAAAATGCGACTCCAAGCCGGTTCTTCCACATTGTGTTTTGAAGTGGGTTGCCTTCATCAACTTCCTGGGACAAATCAATCATCCTGCCAAAAGTTCCTGATCAAGAAAGACTAGGGTATTTAAAAGGGATACCCAACATTGAAGGAAACCTTGTAAATCCGAGCTGAAGGAATTCAAGAGCAATTGGCTTACTATCAATTTGAAGTACATCATTCAATTCCAGTTTTCAGCACTAAACATGAAAAACACTAGTGAATGCTAGAAAACTGATCCATTAAGCAAGGTAGCGATACAACTTCCTGTCAACACTATCTCTTTCCAAGAATTCACGTTCTATGAGTGACTCAATACGCTTCTTAATCTCCACTGGGTTTGGCAGGAAACGAGATTGCAGCTGCTTTGTGACCTCAGCAATAATATTGTTATGATCTAGTACTTTCCTGGATTTCATAATTCTCACTATTGCAGCCTCAATCTGAGGCTTTCTATCCTCCTCCACCCTTTGTCTAGTTTCCTGTTTTTCAGGTTCTGATTCTTTCTGTGCAACTACTGTTCCTATCTTCACCTTGTAAAATTTGCTTGAGAACTTGTCATTGAACAAGAAATCATCGTTCTCACCGATATCCTTGCTCATGGGCTCTTTTCGAAGGACATTCTTTCCCTTGACACAAGCCAGTGATTGCAAACACCTCTTCAGCTCTGGGGCAGGAATCTCAGTCGCTTGTTCAATCTCCCGGTAGCTAAGTCTGTCAGCATTATTGAAAAGCATAAGTACACACATTTGGAAGGTTGAGACATTAAGCTCGTGCTTCTGACCCTTGCTGAAAGTTGCTTTTATATCAGCTGTACCCATGTTAGTTTGCCAGGATAATCTTCTGCCTGTATGTGTTCCAAGATAGTACGAGCGGAATTTTTCACAAAGTAACGACAGCTCCGCAGGAAGGTTGCAGGGAATACTTGGTTGAGTGGGCCAGGACCCAGTTGTTAAAACCTGGACAACCAGTGTAGGTCCATCCCCTAGCTCAGCACCATGATTGGTGTAAAAACCTTGTATTGTATCCTGAGAAGTTTTCATATCGGTGAACATACCCTCTAGCTTGGAAGTAAACTGATAACCACATTCTGTCTTAAGCTTCACGATCAGGCTTCTCTCTGCATCATCAGACACAGTCTTTCCTGACAACAGTCTCTTAGCCAAGTGCTGTTTATAGTACTTCTCAAACACATCTTTCTCCTGCAGATATCTGAAAAGCATCATCACCTTATCTAGTACGACCTCCACATCTTCTTCACTAACACCCTTGAGACCTTTACGAAGCTTGTCATCCACAAACAGAGAGATAAACTCTGGAGAACGGGCATTCAAATTGATGAAGTACTCAAATGAGGAATTCAAGGCATTCTGGAAAGTCTTGTCATTGTTAAATGCAGAGCTTATGATTTTATCATATTTGTCTTTCTCATCTAAAAGACGCTGAACGAACTCTACAGGATCCTTCACCCTTTCGGGATCAGTAACAAGCTGCTTACCAACCTCTCTGATGTGAGAAGTCATCACATCTCGAACAGTGCTGAGACCATTATCCACCCGACGGAATAGATTATACATTCTCCCCAAGTCTTCATATTTATCATCAAGAAGCATATTCACTAGGCCTGAATTATCCATGTGAACCAGCCTTGGCATGTGGTTAGCAATCATCTCCCTCTCCACTACCTTTGTTATCTTGGCTTCACTTCTGACATCCAGATAATGTGAAACTCTCTCGATTTCTTCATTCAGACGTCTCTCGGCTTTTTTTAGGTAATCACCACAATCACAGCACTCAATGAACTGCTGAGACTCAACACGATAAAAATTAGCAGAAACATCAAGAAATGGTTTCTCAAAGTCCTCTTGATAAACAGATGCCCCTAGATCCATTAGCATCTTTATTACGTTTCTCATCAGCCCCCTGTTAATAACCTCCCCGGTTCTCTCTTGCTGAATCCAATCAAGGAGAGTGTTTAAAAGCCTTGTCTGAATACTGCTGGCATGGATAACATTATCCCTCCACAAATTCAAGCCAAGATCATAAACTGGAGTTTTATGAGTGCTGGGAACAAAAGTTCTGTCCATGTACATCAGTATGTCTCGAATCATCTGCAACGCCTTATTATGTTCAGCCCATTTTCGATTCAGCTCTTCAAGAAAAGCGTCTCCCTGAGCAGATTCTATGGATTTCGATATATCTTTCAAATGTGAAGTCATTGTTGTCACAAGACCCGAATAAAGCTTCTCACCATATTTGTGCAGAACCATGTTGTAAGCATTTCTGTAAAAGTTAACCGAAATCAGGAGATGAACGGTGTACCACAGAAAATTCTATGAATTTTGAGGAACTCCAGATCAAGAAGCAGGCAGATAATTTGAAGAAAATTGGATACCAAATGCTGAAAATGAAACTAGATAGGTTAGCCATAAAGCCATTTCAACAAGCTTGTGATAATCAGTTGGCATCTCTTAAGATTTGAAAACTCTTCATTCAACACTGGCAGGATTACAATATACAACAACACTCGAAGATGTAAAAACTGGCATAATTTGAACTTCTCCTGTGAACCACCACGGCTTTAAAATAAAGTTAATAGTTTTTGTAAGAAATGCCAACAAAATTTTTGTAATAGCCGTGCTTCTCAATAATTACAGTATCTAAAAAATGGTTGCAATTAAGGCAACGTGATCTAGTCAGAACATTAAATAAACAATGAATGTGCAACACAAATTGAATTACAAGAGTTCAATCGATATATAATTGCAGAATCTATGACAATCATGTCAAAAGCAACAAGAAAATTCAGTAGATCAACCAGGGTTCAACAAAAAATATAAGAAAGATCCTTTCTGTAATATCCACACAGTAACATATTGGAAAAAAAAAAAAATTAATTCAAAAAAATATGGAAAACAAAAGAAGGTGAATGGGAGTTGTGCCAAACAAATTCATGATATCCAGAAAGAATTTACAAGAAAAGAATAACAAATGCAGAAAAAAAATATTGGATTTTGTCATCATAAACTTAGTCTAACATAATAAGAGCAATGCCCAATGCAAAATTCCAACAACTTGTGAGACAACACAATATTTTATCACTGCCACTATACAGTGATATACATGGACCAGGAGAAATTTTATAAAGGAAACCATAAAAACAATCACAAGCTCATTTAGATAAATACTCCAATGTCAATAGTTATTGCAACTAAAATAATGAAACAAAGTAATGCGTTATTTCTCCCTCCATTCTTTTATGTCCCACTACTACTGTAAATACATAATTTAAGAAAATTGTGAAAAGGGTGAGAAGGTGTAAGATATAAATCGGAGTCGAGAGTGTGTAAAAAGGTGGGTTGGTGTAAATAACGGTGATTAAAATAAAAGAGATAGTATCAAAAGGTGTAATTACTGTGATAAGAGGGGTGAGATGGCAAAGGGGGTATGCCTAAAGTAAAATTAACCAAAGAATGGACAAAAATGAAAAGTGACTGGAAATATAGGAAAAAGCCTGGTTAAATGACTCGTTGATTCTCTGAATACTATTCATAGAACTCCACGTCACAAGACATGGGATAAAGTGAAAAAAAAAAGTTGTAAGCTGCCATATAAATCATCCAATGTCAAGAAGTTACCAACGAAATCAACAACAAAAAAACAGAAGACAAAGGGAACAATTTTCGACATAGTATCATTCCAAAGAGTTGAAATAGGGCGTCAATAAGGCCATCATTCGAAAAACAGGCATCAGCAGTTCAGCACTTATCTTGCACTTTTTATCTTGCATAAACCCTATTTTCTGCAAAAACAACCAATTACATCCTAATTTGCCTTCAGCACTTGTTACTAAAAAGTAGCTATCCATTGCCCATATAGTAAATTCCATCAATAAATTATTGCTAATATTACAACTTGAAGCATATATGTATGCAAAATCAAAAGTCAAACCCAACATCTTACGTTCCATTTGGTAGCATATCAATTGATGCTTATCCAATCAAAGGTGAGAAGCCTCCATATTTGCCTCCAACAAAATACACCTATTCCCTCCATTTCTTATTGTTTCCCCCAATATCAATTTAAGGTCGTCCTTGAAAGATCACCCCATTTCTATTTATGTCCATGAGGGCTAAAGCTTTACTCTCACATAAATCACATTTGACCCCACCATTTGTCTCTCATTAACTCCACTCAACCAAAACTTACCTAGCCATAGCCCATAGAGTCAATCCCATCAACAAAGTATTGCTAATATAATAACTTGAAGCAAATATGTATGCAAAATCAAAAGTCAAAACCAACATCTTACGTTCCATTTGGTAGCATATCAATTGATGCTTATCCAATCAAAGGTGAGAAGCCTCAATATTTGCCTTCAAACACTCCCTCCTTATAAAAATAACCATTTAAAGTCGTCCTTGAAGATTACCCAATATCAATTTATGTCAATAAGGGCTAAAGCTTTACTCTCACATAAATCACATTTGACCCCCACCATTTGTCTCTTACTAACTCCACTCAAACAAAACTTAACAAAGTAAAAATAGGCGGGAATACATTTCAGCTGAGAGCGCACTCAATTCATGGTTTTGGCGTGATCAATTATATTCTCATTATTCGCCTGCCCAAATTCCATTCCCTCCACCACCACCTGAATCATCCATCCTTATCCGTCCTTAGCTACTAAAACAAGGCTCAATCCAATTTCAATCACAAGCATCACAACCTGATATAATTCTTACAGCCATTCTCTTTTCTAAACGCTTACAACCATTCTTATTTCAAAATGCTTACAATCATTCTCATTTCGATATGCTATCAAGTTAGCCACTACCTAATCATTAAACTCTAAACAGTAAATAGCTAATCAAGATGCTATAATCAACATATAAAGCACAACAACATAATCAAAACAAGTAACAATTACAATTAAAAACCAAAATTAACAAAGAAGCAAACCTGTAAAGCTCCTCAAAGCTAAGGCCACTAGCATTCTCATTGTAAATCTCCTGAATAGCATGCTCCAATATTCTCCAAGTCTTATCAGCATATTTCGGATCAACCACCACCCTATGCTTAAACGCCTCTATCTGAAATGGCTTCCTCCTTTGATTACTCATTTTCTCTCTCCTCTATCTACCTTCAGAATTCAAACCCAGAAACGCAAAGCTAATCTACGAATCAAGGAGAAAGCGATCACCCACAAAAACCCAGAAATTCTTCTAAAAAGGGGGAAAACTACGACAAAATTAAATTAAAAAAATATTCGTTCGAAAAATTTGAAAGGGTGTTCTTAAGAAGATCTGGGCACGAAAAGTAATAGATTCGAAAGGAAAAGAGAGAGATTTGTGCAAAGAAGAAGAATCGAGGTGGATGAAATTGGAACTAGGGTTTCTTCGGATTGGGGGTAAGATGATAAAAATTAGGGCAGAAATTAAAGAAAAAAAAGAGAGAAATTATGATAATCTGGAAATTGGAGATGGTATTTGTTAGAGGTTTCAACGAAATGGGGGTTTTGAGAGGAGAGAGAAAATCAGGAGGAAGGGGAAGAAGGAGAGAGATGAGGGCAAATAATGATTTTTGGATTATTTTTCTCTCTATCTAGTTTAGTTTCTGAAAATTGAAGAGGAAGAAGATGGATAGCTCCTCTCTTTTTTTTTTTTTCTTCCTTTTTTTTCGTAATTACGATGGTGGATAAAAGTGACTTACATTCGATTATTTGAAAACCTAAATTGTTCTCCTAATACACTTTTTAGCGAATGTGAAGTATAGAGTGTATTTTTCTCTTATGTTCTCCCTTTCCTTCCAAATAAATACCCTAATTTGACTGGCACATAAAACTTATACCAATTAAATCGTTAGTTTTTTTTTTAATAGTAAAGTTAATTTATTAATAAAAAGTCATACGACATCTACAACGATAATCGAATTTGACAAATACACAATTTCAATCAAATAAAAATTTTCCTTCATAAAAACTACGATCGTCAAGCAAATCTTGCAATGTGGAACATCTCATTACAGCCTTGTTAGAGAGTCGATCTAACGATCCCTTGTAGTCGTGAGCATGATTTCCATCGGATTCATCTGACCGTATTCGAAAAATTAAAATCCTTTGCGATCCCGCATAATTTTTCACCAACGAAACAATTTCACGGCAATCCATCAAATCCATTATCCCGAATTTTAACCTAAAGAAATTCCCCCTCAAAAAGAGAAGAAAAACATTGTTTTTAAAAGGAGATTGTAAAACCTTGTCTTTCGAATATATATATATATATTTTTTTAAATGATATCCAAAAATTATACGCTACATTGGTCTTATCTTAACAAGTAGCACAAGACTATGTTTAATCTTATGCATAAAGCACATATTGAGGTTAAAGTGGTGTCTATGAATAGTGCAAATGTCAAACTGATGCATGTATTTTGAAACAACAATGCGTTTTCTATGTGGTTGGTCATAGCGTGTGGACGATTGACATACACCAAAACACTGATCGGGGTAACCCCTGACTGACCGAGTAACCCCTGACCGATCGAGTAACCCCAGACTAACTGATGAGTAACCCCTAAATAAGTAACCCCTAACCGACCCAATAACTCCTGAATAAGTAACACCGGTCACACGGTGTGGCTAGCCGCATATGAAACTTTGTGTTGAAACAAGTAGGATAAATAATCAACATTGATTAAAGTAAACTATATAAATAGTGTCGAAAGTCAAAATAGAATACAGTCCAAAAAAAAAAGACGAAGAGTGTAATACTCAAAACCATACAAAAATTTTATACCAAGACAAAGTCTATGACGAATCATTGTATTATGTTGAGATTCATATTGTATAGATATTTTGAGGCCGCGAAAAGCATGGGGCCAAAATCCGTTCGGTAAAATCATGTATGTAGACATACTCGACATCGTTGTCGACGAAGAAGATGATTAAAATTAAAAAGAGCTTTAAAAGATGCAGAGAAAGAACTAAAAAAAGGAAGGAAAGTGGGAAACTATGTAAGAGAGCCATGGAGCTAATGGAAGCAATGAGTGATGGTAAGGAATTCGAAAAAGCATTGAAAGATGGCAAGCAACTGGGAACAACTTAGGCGCAAAAAGGTAATGTCATATCCTAGGGCAAAAGTGTCGGAAACAATACATGTAGGAACATGCACTTCTCGCTTTTATTTAGATAAATAAATTGATTATTCTTTTAAATTGACCATTCCTTCTTAAAAATGGGCACATGTTATAGGCTCACATGTCGTGTTAGCGTGCCACGCGCTCAAGCGGACTAAAAAATAGACTTGTTGTACTAGGCTCTTACCGAGCTTTTATAAATTGAGCTCAATCAAAGTTGGCTCATGTGTCATATTGTGCTGGATCATGTCGCGTTAGGAGGCCGCTTAATAATTTACGGACTATATATTATTTGGTAAATTGGTCAAAAATATGCGGGTTAACCCGTCAAGCTTTTGTTGAATTTTGAAACAATGGCTATGTACGAGTTCATGGCACATTGACGTGTCTCTCGTGCCGCGCTTAGGAAGGGCTCGTGGCAAGTCAGATCATTTTCGTGGCGTACCTAACTGGCCCTTGTCCCTACCCGACTCATATAACATCTCAATTCCTTCTATACAATGAGGCATGAGAGCTTTGATTTAGGAGTATGTACAAAATCAAAACTTTACAAGAAATTAACAACAAATTAGAGTGTCGCAATAGAACTTGGCTCTAATTAACAACAAATTAGAGTGGTCCATAACCTACAAGTCCCAAGATTGAAAATTGGCTCTAATATTTGATGTTATGACCAAGTCAGACCAAAAATATGATCGGATTAAAACTTTAATTATTATCATTTAATTTTTGCTTTAATGAAATTACATATTTGAATATATAATAAGTCTAATCTAACCGGATTTTATATATTAGTATAGAAATCTGATTAAAATTAAGTAAAATTAATACATCAGCTTAAGTTTGCCAAGAAACATTAATATTAACCAGATGACCTTGTTTTAGGGGAAAAGAAAAACAAGTCATTTTTACGAGAAAATTCAAGTTTATATTCATTATAAACAAAAAAAAACATTTATCTAGTGATTTTTCTATAAATAAATCAAAAATTTTAATTAAATGTAGACTCCACTAATATTAATTTATTTACATAGAAATTGTGCTAATTAAAATTTTATGTTGATTTATTTACATAATTACCAATTTACCACTAAATTGTAACGGAGTATTTCAATTTGTTTTTTTTTTTTGGTTCAATAAGTGTTTTGCTTCATATTTAAGCTACAAATGAATAATCCATATTTTTCTCTACATTTAATCCTTACTACTTCAAATTTCTGGACTTTCTGGAACATTTTATCACATCCAAGGTGAGCAAAAAACAATCTTTATATTCATGGTTTAATTCATCGTCTTCCCTTTAAATTGGTTGATTTTTGTGTTTTCTTTTTGCTTGAAATGCAGTTTTTGGCTTAAAATATGGTGGAAAATGCATGTAATGAGCACCCATTATTTGGCGGGGCAATATCAATGACCTTTCCTGATAGATTCCAGGTTTAACATGCCAAATTTCCCAATTCTTGCTTTTTATTTAAGTTATATTTGTGGGAAATTAACAATATTTTGGATTTTCTGTTTTCTGTGCAATTTTGGATTATATTTATAGGATTTGAGCAATGTACGGGAAGTTCCTGATCATCAGGTTGAATTTTAATTATTTTTTTTAAAATGTTTTTTTAGGGGTTCTGACTTATTTGTAGTGATAGCCTGATAGGTTTTGTGGGTGTTTACAAATTAATGGAAGGGTCAATGTGGTTTTTGTTTCTGTGTGTATAGGAAGCGTTTGCCGACCCTAATCGAGACGAAAGTCTCATTGTTGAATTGTTAGAGTTGAAGCAAGAGGTTGCTGATGAAGGTAGTGCTGTTTGGTTCCTACAAGACCTTGCTAGGGAACAGGATGCTGAAGGCGGTATGGTGAGTTTGTCATGTTTCGTTTCGTTTAATATCTTTGATGTTGGGTGAATTTCAATTGCGTTGCTCTTATTTGATTAATTTTGACAGGGTGTTAAATTTGATAATTGACCTATTATGGAATTTGTTGTTTATAAATGTGAATTAGGATTAAGGGGTGAGAGAAAATTCCTCTGATAAAATATATCTATTCATGACAGATTTAGTGACTTTAGAAGCTATAATTGTATGATGAAGACCTAAATGATGCTAGATATAACACTTGGACTTCTGAACTAGGATATGCAAGGAATCTGATTATCTGAACGTGGCAACTTAGTTGTCCAGAATTCAAAGTGGTATATTGCATTGAAGATTATGAAAAACAGATTTAAAATATGACCTGTCTTTAACATTGAAGCCACTTGCAGATTGACGAAGTTGATCATTAACATCTTTTGTTCGGGTGAAACAGGTGTTTAAACTAGATATCATCATATCACCATCAGTTATCTACTTCCTGCCCTTAAAATCTGCTGTTGAAATATGCTGAGTCATGCAGATGAGTTGTTTATGACTCAAAGTCCTATGTGCATGTAGCATATGCTTATATGCGTGCTCTTGAGCAGTAGCCATGCGTCTATGCCCCTTGAAATACAGTCTTTGAATTGAATTGTTTTATCATTGAGCATATGGAATTCACACAAGTTTTAGTTCAATAGTGCCAAAGTTTTCAGTGGTTCTGGTACTATTCAAATCCGCTTGTTAATATTTCAAAATGCCATTAGATGGATTGTTCATGATCTGTATTTTTGGTTTATCATCATTTGATCTTTATTTCCTATCTGGAAATTTTGTTTAATTTCCATTGTTAGGAAAACTACTAAAATATGTTGATGATTGATCTTGTTTCAAGTACAGATGATTGAGCAATCAGGAGTATTAGAGGTTCCGGGATTGTGCTACAGAAGTATACCTGCTGTCGTCACCAGTGCTGTTGGCCAAACGGTGTGCAATTAAGTTATTATTTTGTTCAAGTTTGCTTCCATTTTCAGTTTTAGAAATGATGTCTTTGGTTGTAGGACAATCTTCAGATATTAAGTAACACTGTATTATACATATGCTTAGTGACCTCATTTCAGTTTTGGCCTTTAGTACTTTTGTATGCTTAGTTTTACATGTTCTTTTTAGTGTCTAAAATATTGTTTGATTCTGTTACTCTTATTGCTGCAGTTTCCTAGTTTTGATTTTAAATCTAAGAAATTTTGCATTGAATCATTTATATTGGATCTACAGTGTGCAAAGCAGCAGTCCTATTTATTCATGTGCAGTCTTCTCTGTTTAAATTATTATGGATCTTTTTTTAGATGCTTAAGCTTCTAGAAAATAGACAACAAAAATTGTATGTTGAGAAATTTGACTACCTTAGTCAAATATATCTATTTTTGGTGAATCAGCCTTTTACCCTAGAGCACCCCCAACTAATGCTCTTAAAATCTTGGTATGCTGTAAGGAATATGATATTTTATGAATATGATATTTTATGGAATATCTTTTAGCCTCCATGTTTTTGCATATTTTGTAAGTTATAATACTCATGCTATCAGCTTATTGTCATATTTACTCATGTAATAACTTTTCTAAACTAAACCAAATTACCAATCATAATGTGCTAACACTGGATCACCTGTCCACAAAGAGTTCTATTGCCTTTGTCTGAGTTCTCATGACTTAAGGTGCCAATGTAGCATGTAAAGTCAGATTTACTCTGTAGTCTGGCATGATATTGAAAAAACATAATCAGATTAGTTATTGAAAAAGTTTTTCTTGGTCGTATTTTCCATGTTCACTCAAAGGTTCTTTCTTTTTTTTTTTTTTGTCA